CATCCTAGTATAGGTGGCGCCGGAGTTTTTGAGTCCGGAGGCCATGACGAGGTAGCAAAAGATTCCCTCTGGGGTCATGAATGCCGTCTTCTCAGCGTCATCTTCATGCATGGAGATTTGGTGGTACCCTCTGAAAGCGTCAAGGAACGACATCAACTCGCACCCCGCCGTCTCGTCCACCAACTGATCAATGTTGGGGAGATGGAACGGGTCCATGGGGCACGCCTTGTTCAGGTCAGTGTAATCAACACACATTCTGAATGTTGGCGGTTTCTGGGCGAGGACGACGTTGGCCAACCACGTCGGGTACTTCACCTCTTTAATGTGTTTGATTGAGAGGAGCATGGCGACCTCCCCTTTGACGAAGTCCCGCCTGTCGACGGACAAGTAGCGCCGCTTCTGCTTGACAGGCGCGGAGGCCGGATCGACGGTCAGCCGGTGAGTGATCACCTGGCGGCTGATGCCTAGCATATCGTCCGGGCCCCACGCGAAGACAACGGCGTACGACCGTAGGACGAGGAGGATGGCGTCCCGCTGGTCCTGCGGGAATTGCTTCCCGACTCTGAGGACCCGCTCCGGCCGGGAGGTATCCAGAGGGACTTCCTCGACCTCCTCGGCCGGCTCAGCATGCGGCCTCTCCTCATCCTTGGCAACGGCTGCCGTGATGGTGTCTATCCTCTGACCTTCTCTTTCGGCCGGCCTCGTCAGCTTGAGGTAGCATGCTCTGGCTATCCTCTGGTTTCCTCTGGCGTAGCCGATGCCGCCATTGGTGGGGAACTTCAGACACAAGTGCTTCATGGAGATGATGGCCTCCAAGTCCTCCAGCGTTGGGCGCCCTAAGATCAGGTTATGGGCGCACTGGAGGTGGACCACCATGAACTCCATGTCAATCTTGGCGCGGTGGGGGCCGTCACCGACCTCCACGGGGAGGACTATCGTGCCCTCAGCGTCGATAGAGTCCCCGGTGAAGCCGGATAACGGGGTCTTGATCGGATTCAACAATGCTTTGTCCAGCTTTAGCTGCCTGAAGGTATCCAGGTACATCACGTTGACGGAGCTCCCCGTATCGATGTACGTGCGGTGGATGATGGAGTCACCGATCTCACACTGGATGACGAGGGCGTCCCTATGTGATTCCGTACCCGGAGGCAGATCCTTGTCGGTGAAGGTGATCGCCTCCGTTCGCTGCTTCTTCGGCTGGGGGGGAACGCGGGACACCTCCCCTATGTAGAGGGATTGGGCCCATTTCTTTCTCTGGGTGACGGAGTCCCCCCCAGTGTTCCCACCCACAATGAGGTGAATGTGATTCTTCTTTAGCGGGGGCTCTTCGAAGTCCTCGTCGTCGCTGAGCCTACCAATCTCCCGCTTCTTCGCAGAGGGTTCGCCCCCTTGTTTGCCGGTGTTTACCCATGTGTTTTTGCGTGGGCCACCTTCAACAAACTGGGAGAGTTCCCCCTGACGAATAAGACGCTCGATGGCCTTCTTCAGCGTGATGCAGTCGTCGGTGTTGTGCGAGGAGTTCTTGTGGAACCGGCAGTATGTGCCGCCCTACTGGATGGCAAGGACCTCCTCGGCCGGCCGAGGAGCCTGCTCGATGAGGCCGTGCTTCTCGGCATAGTCGAGGATGATGCCGACCGGGTGAGTGAGGGCAACCCCCGGCCGTTCCAACCTCGGCCGCCAGTGGCGATCTTTCTTACTTTGTCCACCAAAGCCGTGACGGCCCTCGGCACCCTGGCCGGCCGGGGACGGACCCGGGGCCGGCGAAGGATTTGTCTTCTTGGAGGGATGCCCCCCTCTTTCTTGTGATTGTGGAGCTCGTCGGCGTCGGCGTACAAGCCTCCGCGCTGGAGCGCCTTGGCGTACGACCTCGAAGGGTCGGTGATGAGGCTCCTAGCGTACGGGGAGCTGCGGAGGGCTCCCTGATACAAGGCGAGGAGGGTGCGCTCATCGGCCCCCTCGACTTCTTCGGTCTCCCTCGTCCACCGATCGATGAATGACCGGAGGGACTCATCATGCTGCTGCTTGACGGAGAGGAGGTGGGTGAAATACTTCTTCGCACGCTTCCTCCCGGTAAAGTGGGTGAGGAAGCGTTGGGCAAGATCCTGCCATGAGTCGATGCTTCCTTCGGGGAGCGCGTTGAACCACTCGTACGCTGGCCCCTCGAGAGTAGAGAGGAACCAACGGCAGAGGTATTCGTCTGACGCGTTCACCATCAGCATGTTGTTCTGATAACGGCTGAAGTGTTCCTGGGGGTCTGATCGGCCGTCGTAGGACTTGATGGCGTTTCCCCTGTACTTCTCTGGGATGGGGGCCGAGAGGACCCTGTTGGTGAAAGGGGTCCTGGTCCTGACCTGGATGATGGGGTCACCTCGCCCCTCGGCCAACTCCCTCTCCAGGGCGCTGACTTTGTTCATGAGCGCGTTGAGGCCAGGGTCGTTGGAGGCGCCGGCCGTAGGGATGTTGGCCGACTGCTTGGCCTCCATCTGAGCCAGCCTCCTTTCCAGCTGGGCGATGACCTCGTCCCGGGGGTCCCTGGCGGCCGCAGCGGCGCCCGGCTGGTTCCTCATGCGCTCGTCGTGAGCCGCATTGATCTGGTGGCGCACGTCGTCCTCGTGCAACTCCCCCTTACCCTTGTCCGGGCGGGGCTGGTTCGCTGTCCGGGACACAGACCCCAAGCTTTCCCTCGGCGAGCCAGGCCGACGCTCACCAATCCGTCCTGCCATCCTCTCCAAAACCGAACGACGGCGCGTGTCACCTAGCCTGTTGAAGGCAGAGGCTTTTCCACGCGCTGGGGTCTGCTCAGGCCGAAGAGGGGAAGCAGGGTGGGAGTGGGACGACGCCGTGTCCTGGGCCATCACCCCCTCATCGTTGCCTATCTGGACGGCCAACGGTTGGGGCTGAGGAGGTGGAGTGACGTTCCCCCCGGTCCTTGGCAAGAGTGCGCTGAGGACGGTGGGATTCTGAGCCAGGCTGGCGATGATGACCGACAGCGCGGCCTGGACCTGTGGATCCACGGACGGAGAGGCCGCGGCCATAGGCTGGGCCGAGGCGTGGTCCGTCTTCTCAGCTCGTTTCTTGTCCAAGCCGATGCGGGCGTCAGGGGCTCCGCCGTTGAGTTGGTTGCGGAGGTCCGTCGTGAGGTTGAAGGCCTCCTGGAAGACGTCCCCCCCCCCCCCCCCCCCCCCGCCGCCGACCTGGTCGGCCGTGGCGTCCTCCTCGTGCTCCCTGGCCTCTTGGTCCTCAGCGATGGCCTAGCTGACGAGGTTGCGGTTTGATTTAGTTCTTCCCATGATCAGTGGTTAGCTGTGCTTGGTAGCGACGAAGGGTGCTAACTTGATTGTTCTAGCTCTCAACGAGAGCACCAAATGATAGAGTATATCTAGAGAGAAGTGAGAGCTAGAGAGAGAAGTGCAATAATATGCTTCAATAGAATGATTTTGTAACCCCTATAACTACTCCCAAGGGGAGTATTTATAGAGAAAATACGGGCTGGGCTCCCAAGCCTTGGGCTTGGGAGGCCCATTTACAACTGGACCGCTACTGGGCCGAATACAAAGCCGCTAATGGGCTGTTCAAATGAGTAAGTGTAAAATCCGGTTCTGTGAGGTCTTCGTGGCCGACGGGGGCGTGGCCGACGAGGGCGTGGCCGACGAGGGCACCCGGGTTCCTTGGCTTCAGGACCATATTCTGAGTTGGTACCTTTTCGGCCAACTGGGGTCCCATGGCCGACGAGGGCACCACTCAGTGTCGTGCTTTCTGTTCTTCTGAGTATGTGGGTCCGGGGCTCAGACCCATATACTCCATCAGTTTTAAATAATATTGCTATTAAATTACATGTAATATATATGTTACAAATTAACTTATTCATTTAAATATATTATCGTTGCATTATCATCAAAGTATTTATTGTACTAATATTATAATTTAAAACCAATACTCATTTCTTTTAAATGTTATACTCAATTTTTTAACATGCAATACCTGATTGTACCGTGTGTGCGGTACAACTAGGTGTATGGTATATTTTGCCTAACTTTAGCTGAATTTTATAAAAATAAATATAGATTCAAATATTTAAATTTGTCACTGGAGTATTTTTAATTATAATTTCTCTGTAACTCATATCTTTTAAAAAAATTATAATATCCAAAGAAGAAAAAGGGTTCATTCACTTTCCCTCCAACTCCAACGTGACTAACCTTTAATGTCTTTCCCTCTCTCTTCCCTCCAAATTCCCAAACATACTCCCTCCGTCTCAATTTAATTTGCAAAATTTCTTATTTTGGTTATTCCAAAATGATTTTTTACTTTCTATTTTAGATATGCAAACAATAATAAAGAGACAAATTTATCTGATAGAGTATATCTAGAGAGAAGTGAGAGCTAGAGAGAGAAGTGCAATAATATGCTTCAATAGAATGAATTTGTAACCCCTATAACTACTCCCAAAGGGAGTATTTATAGAGAAAATTAGGGTTGGGCTCCCAAGCCTTGGGCTTGAGAGGCCCATTTAAAACTGGACCGCTATTGGGCCGAATACAAAGCCACTAATGGGCTGTACGAATGAGTAAGTGTAAAATCCGATTCTAGGAGGTCTTCGTGGCCGACGAGGGCGTGGTCGACGAGGGCACGGCCGACGAGGGCACCCGGGTTCCTTGGGCTCGGGACCATAATCTGAGTTGGCCCTTTTCGGCCGACGGGGGCGTCTTGACCGACGAGGGCGCCACTCTGTTGTCTTGTGCTTTCTGTTCTTCCGAGTATGTGGGTCCGGGGGCTCAGACCCATATACTCCATCATTACCGTTACTTTTTTTAAAATTAACTTAAAGGCATCAATTTTTAGGAAGGTAAGCATAAGTATAAAAAACAAACATCATTTATTGTCATTCATTAACCTTTGTATCAATTCAATTTCGGAAAGAATATTCATGATTAATGGAGAAAAAACAGGTAGTACTAGTAATGATTAATGGGTCATTCTTGATCCGGTTTTTCCCTGCTCACACCCGATCTGGCCTGGCCTGATTCCTTTATTTAGATTTTCATTTCATTTCATGTTGTGCTGGCTTTATTGAAGAGGGAGAGACAGTAAAGATACAAAAAGAAAATGGCGTTAAACAATGGAATCAAATCACAAGTTTGACTGGACTGAGATCGTGAGAACATGAGTGCGACAGAAATCGCACACCCACCTTCGTTAGCTGAATGTGAAAGCAAAGACTCCAAAAAGCCAAAACAAAGCTGCGTTCTCTGTTCTTTTTACCCCTCTTTTGTCTTCTTGCTTTTTCTGTTGCTCTGAGACATTCTCTAGTATGGGGAAGTACTAATCCATTCATGTGAGATTGCCTAAGTACGATCTTTCACCCCTCCTGACTCACCAACGTCCTGTCTCGCCCCATCATATAGACCTTTCCTGGTCGTCTTCGCCGTACCATTTGATCAACTGCACGTACTTCCCTCAAGAACATACATTTCATATCATGAACAGCCGCCACTGCTGTTATGTTGTGTGGTTATAATCTTCAATTCCTCCACGTAATTCATGCCGCCCCCTTGGATCAATTCTTGAATTTTCTTTTTCAAACGTTTTCTTTGATGGGGTTGGGTTCTCTACTCCCTTTTATTCTTTACCATCACTGATATATGAAAGTTGTTATTTTTCTTTCTGGGTTACTACTTGACAGGTTAATTTCCTTGTAAATATCTTGAAATTTCCCAAGAAAAATGAAGATTTTGACTGTAGAGGTGATGCTAGATGTGCTGCTGCTGCTGTTTCTGAAATGTAGCTTTGCGGTGGGAGATGAACAGGTGATGAGGCTGTTGGACTTCATGAAGTCGTCAGTTGAAAGTGATCCAAACGGGTTCTTGAAACACTGGGATTCTTCTTCTTCAAGCCCCTGCAAATGGAATGGCGTGGTTTGCTCTCCTGCCCATGAAGGTCAAGTCACAGACCTCAATCTTCAAAATGCAAACCTCTACGGCTTCCTCCACATCTATCATCTCATGGCTCTCCCTTCTCTCAGGAATCTTCGGTTGAGTGGCAACCGTTTCTACGGAAATCTTTCACTCACATCAGATTCTTCTTCTTGCAGCAGTAGCTTTGAGTCTCTTGATCTATCATCTAACAACTTCTCAGATTCTCTGGATTTGAGTCCCTTGTTGTCTGCCTGCAATCGCCTCACATATCTTAACCTTTCCCAGAATTCGATCCCTCATCTGGTGCTCAAGCCATCTCCCTCGGTTCTCCAGGTTGATGCCTCAAAGAACAAGATTTCGAATTTAGACCTTCTGGATTACTCTCTGTCCGACTGCCAGAACTTGAGCCTGCTCAATTTGTCTGAAAACAAGCTGAGTGGTAATCTGATGAAAAGCTCGCTTTTTTCTTGCAACAACCTAGGACTTCTTGATCTGTCGCACAACAATGTCTCCGGAGATTTCAATGATGTTGAATTCGGGGCTTGCGGCAATCTGGCTGTACTAGACTTGTCATTCAACAGCCTCTCAGGTTCTGATTTCCCCACCAGTCTTGGGAATTGCCAGAATCTGGAGAAACTCCTTATCGGGCATAACTTGATTCAACTGAAGATTCCAGGGGGCTTGTTATCAAAGCTGAAGCGTTTGAGAAATTTGGGATTGGCCCACAACAGTTTTTCCGGGGAGATTCCGTCGGAGCTGGGTGGAATTTGTACCACTCTCGAGGATCTTGATCTTTCCGGGAACCAGTTATCCGGTGAGCTCCCGTCCACGTTCAGAGCGTGCTCCTCCACGCTCACCTCTCTCAACCTCAGCAATAATCATCTCTCCGGCGACTTCTTGAGCAGCGTCGTTAGCCGGCTTGAGAATCTCAGACGCCTCTCGGTTTCTTTCAATAACTTAACCGGTCCGGTTCCGAAGTCTTTGGAAAACTGTCCCCACCTTGAGGTGCTCGATCTTAGCTCAAACCGGTTCGACGGCGGCGTGCCTTCCTGGTTATGCTCACCGGTTTCTATCCTGCAGACGATGGCGCTGGCAAACAACCAACTTTCCGGGTCAGTCCCACCGCAACTCGGGTTCTGCAAGAACCTAATGAAAATCGATCTCAGCTTCAACCGCCTGAGCGGTTCTATCCCGTTGGAAATCTGGAACCTTCCGAATCTCTCGGATCTGATCATGTGGGCGAACTCTTTCACAGGGGAGATTCCTGAAGGCATTTGCAGTTCCAGATTTGGAGGAGGAGGGAAACTCGAAACCCTAATCCTCAATCACAATTTCATCTCCGGACCGATTCCGAAGTCGATTTCGAAGTGCACCCAGCTGGTTTGGGTTTCTCTGTCAAGCAACCAGCTGACAGGCGAGATTCCTCCGCAAATCGGCGAGCTCTCGAAGCTCGCGATACTCCAGCTAGGGAATAACTCTCTGTCCGGCACGGTTCCTCCTGGCCTAGGAAGGTGTAAGAACCTGATATGGCTGGATTTGAATAGCAATAACTTAACGGGTCCGGTTCCTGCCGAACTAGCCGATCAGGCCGGGCTTATCGTCCCCGGCGGTGTGTCGGGGAAGCATTTTGCTTTCGTGAGAAACGAGGGTGGGCCTGTGTGCAAAGGCGCAGGTGGTCTGGTTTACTTCGACGGAATCCGCGAAGAGATTCTAGAAAACTTCCCGGTCTTCCATTCCTGCCCGTCGATTAGGGTTTACTCTGGCACCACGATCTACACGTTTTCCAGCAATGGGAGCATGATTTACCTTGACCTCTCCTACAATACACTGTCCGGAACCATTCCTCCCAGCTTTGGTTCAATGAATTATCTGCAGGTGTTAAATTTGGGCCACAATGATTTAACCGGAACCATTCCTTTCAGCTTCGGCGGTCTTAAGAGAACTGGTGTGCTTGATGTCTCTCACAACCATCTTCACGGCCGAATCCCAGGGTCACTCGGAGCGCTCTCATTTCTCAACGATCTAGATCTTTCCAACAACAACCTCTCCGGGGAGATTCCTTCCAGCGGGCAGCTGATCACATTCCCTGCTGCTCGATACGAAAACAACTCTGACCTATGTGGTGTACCCTTACCCCCCTGTGGTGCATCTGATTCATCGTCAAGTGCACAATACGACCAGCAACAAGATAGGAAGAAGCGGGCAACCACTATATGGATGGTCGCCGGGTTTACAGCATCTTTTATTGCATTGTGCGGACTACTCGTTTCACTCTTGAGAGTGAGGAAAGGTCAGGAGAAGAAGGCAGAAGAAAGGAGGGATAAGTACATTGAGACCCTTTCGACTTCCGGAAGCAGTACCTGGAAGCTCTGCAGCGTACCTGAGCCACTCAGCATTAATGTGGCCACCTTTGAGAAACCTTTGAGGAAGCTGACCTTTGCGCATCTTCTAGAAGCGACCAACGGGTTTAGCACATCGTCAATGATTGGTTCAGGTGGGTTCGGGGAGGTCTACAAGGCGCATTTGAAGGATGGTTCAGTCGTGGCGATCAAGAAGCTCATCCACGTGACGGGCCAAGGTGACCGTGAGTTCATGGCAGAAATGGAAACAATCGGGAAAATTAAACACCGAAACCTCGTACCGCTATTGGGGTATTGCAAGATCGGAGAGGAGAGGCTTCTTGTATACGAGTACATGAAATGGGGGAGCTTAGAAGACGTTCTTCATGAGACTCGAGACAAAGCATGGCTCAACTGGGCAGCCCGGAAGAAGATCGCGGTTGGATCTGCAAGAGGGCTTGCATTTCTTCACCATAGCTGTCTCCCGCATATAATTCACCGCGATATGAAATCTAGCAACGTCCTCCTGGACGAAAACTTGGAAGCCCGGGTGTCCGATTTCGGAATGGCCCGCTTGGTGAATGCGCTGGATACTCATCTTAGTGTGAGCACACTTGCGGGCACTCCAGGATATGTCCCACCAGAATATTACCACAGTTTTAGGTGCACAACTAAAGGTGATGTCTATAGCTACGGTGTCATACTTCTTGAGCTTCTCTCGGGTAAGAGGCCCATAAACACTCGAGATTTCGGAGATGACAACAACCTGGTGGGCTGGGCTAAGCTGCTGCATAAGGGCAATAGAAGTCATGAGATATTCGATCCCCAACTCATGAGCGATTTGTCTGGTGAATGTGATCAGCTCTATCAGTATCTTAAGATTGCGTTTGAATGCCTAGAGGAGAAGCCGTATCAAAGGCCAACCATGATACAAGTTATGGCCATGTTTAAAGCATCGTCTTTGCATGATGATTCAGAGAGTGATATTCTTGATGACGTCTCAGTCTTGATCGATGAGTCACCCGAAGGCGAACCGTAGTCTGCCATGGTTCACTGGCTATAAGCTTTGATCTGTTGCAGATTCTTGCTCAGTGGATGGCTCAAAATGTCGATGAGATCATAGAACTAGTTGTTTTTTCCCTTTTTGGCTGTTGGCCTGTTGTATGTAATTTGTAAATATTAGGTGATATGTTCTCAGATGAAAGTCATAAGAACATCTCAAATATTCAATTTAACTTCATTAGTTGCAGACGGGTTTGTCCTAATGCAAACATTAAAAAGACATTTAACTTCATTGGTGCTTTTGGTTGGTTGAATTGTAATTGTAATTGACCACTTTCGATTTGACTGTTCTTTAAGCTTTATGTTCATCTTAGAATGGCCGGTGTCATACACTACGGTAATAGGGGTAGGCACGGTACGGGTCGGTCCGGGTAATTGATAAATTTTCAAGAACCGCCGGTTCCATTTAATGGGTAGGTTCGGTCCGGGTATATCAGGTTTCGAAATAAGAATTGAACCTTACCCGCCCCGTTTGAAATGGGTCGGTTCGGTCCGAGTCCTCGGTTCTTCTTTTGTAAAAAAAATACGGCTATGCAAGCAAAGTTTCTAGTAAGTTATAAAATTCTCAAATTAATTACCTATTAATGTAATCAAAATATAATAAAAATTCAAAATATAAGACAATTTTAAATTAGTCAACAATATATCGAACCACAACTCTGTAAATTAAACAACACACAACCACCTTAATCAAAATGTTAATCATCATTGATAAACTTATTAAAAAGATAGCACCATAAATTCATAAGATATTAAACTAGTTACCGTACATATTTGTCTATGAAAATAAATTAAAGCTTATTAAATCTCCAAGTATAAATAAAATTAAGATAATTAAATGAATATGTCACACTTCATTGAGTAAGAGTTTTTGTTTACAAAAAATATTAAAGAATGAAAGTTTGATGCATTTCGAATAGAGAATAGAAGAAAATAATTTAGGAGTTTAATTATACGGACTTGAAAATTATTTTTAGTAGATTGAAAAGTTTCTTTAATTGGAAGTTTTTGTCTAGACACAAGAACATGAAGAGTTTTCGTGTTTTGTTAGTATATTATAGGAAAAAGGAGCAAATAAGCCATGTACTAACCAAAAAGGTCAAATAAGCCCTTATATAGGAGGCTATATCCGGCCGTCATCATTTGAGACGATTCCCGGTGGAAATTTTTGATGCAATTTTTTGAGCATATTGCTCATTAAGTCTAGTTTACTCATACCAAATTTCAGCTAAAACTTCAACCGGGAAGACATTCAAATGAATTTTTGAAGATAACTGCGCAGTTAAAAGCGCAGTTATATTCAAGAATTTATTTGAATGTCTTCTCAATTGAATTGTTATTTGAAATTTGGTATGAGTAGATTCTCAAAAAAATTCATCAAAAAATTCCATTGGGAACTGCCCCAAATCGCGACGGTGGGACAGAACCTCCTATATAAGGGCTTATTTGACCTTTTTTTTGTTAATATGTGGGATTATTTGCCCCTTTTTCCTATATTATATTATACTAATATTAAATATAATAGAGATTATTAAAATAATATTTTAAAACGGTTCGGTCCGGATACCCATTTTTTCAAATTTTAAGACCCGTTCGGTTCCTAAGTTTTTCACGACCCGCCCCGCCCCGAACTGTTTGGATTTTCTAAAATTAGGACCCGTCCCTAACCCGCTTTTAACCTGTATTACCCGGGCCGATCCGCGGTTCCAGTACCCGTTTGCCCACCCCTACTACATAATAATATGTTGCTATTCCTTTGTTACTCCATTTGTTTTTTGAAGTTCTCTTGAAAACAGAGAAGAAAAACTGCGGCTCGTGTGCGCGTTCGACCTGCGAACACGCATGTCGTCCGAAAAATCTATCATTCAAAGATACGATTTAATTTTTGTTTCTTGCCGTAAAGTTCCTAATTTTTTCCTAACTGGCAGAACTGCTCCGCTTCTGTTCGGACCAGAATACCTAAGCGCAGTTCTCAGCCGTTACAAAAGTTAATGCCCAACGTTCTTATCTTTTAATGCTTCTTTAAATGGACAGTTTTTTCACATATTAATGCCCAACGTGCTGGACATTTATGTGCAACGTTCAGGTCCATTAAAGCTCGATTAACACACCACAAATCCTCCTATAAATAGCTGGCAGGTGCTTTGCAACAAACACACGTTCACAAGCAATCTGCACGTAGTTTTAAACTCTAAAAACACTTTCAGCTACTCTGAAAATTTCCTAAGTGTTCTAGCTTGTTCCCGTTCGCCGAAACTTTCGTTTGTGTGCTCAAACGTTAGTTTGTTAGTCACCGTATCCTGGGAAACGGTCGTTGCAACGCTCCTAGCACCGTGGGAGGCGACGAATACGTTTTATGGACATCGTGCGTAGCACGAGCTCTGGATAAAATATGTCCCATCTTATTTTCCGGTTTTCTTTGGCTATTTTAAATAATTAATTATTTTTATTAATTAATATGTCTTCTGATGGATAGTGTACCCGGGGGGTAGCTTATCCGAGGGGTTATTACGGGGAATAATAAGAGAGAAGTCAGAGCAAGTAAGTATAGAGAGAGAGAGTATATTGTAAAGTGAGGAGCGTTTTCAGCGTGTTATTACCTGGTTACAAATGGGGAAATGGGGTGCTATTTATAGTAGCAATAAATGCCGGACAGGGACACGTGTCAAGCGTCCATTGGCTGAGAGGTCACCTCAACTGGTTGGTGCTGGCAACCGCATGTGGCCGCATTTAATGCGGCTGTTGGATGGGACGTTGTACAGGGTACGGTGATCTGTACGCATGTGGCGCGGATATCATGTCGGGGAAGGTGCCCTCGGCTGTAGATGACTAGCCGAGGACTCTGAGTACTGGGGACCCCCTTGGTGCCGAGGGCTCCAGGTACCGAGGGCTACTGCTTTTCGCCGTTTTTCCCAGTAACTTTGTTTTGCTGTGTTGGCCCTCCTGTGATAGCTAGAGCCTTAGGCCAAGGGGCCGAAGGCACCCCTGGTGCGTATTTGTGGGCTGCTTGGTACTCTAGGCGCTGTGATTTGGGCCTGCTGTGCTTCCTGGGCCGGTGGGGCTTTATTGGTGTAGTAGGAGTCTGTGGGCCGGGTTTTCCCGAGCCATATACTCCATCAGGAGTCCCTCACTCCTTTTGCCGAAAGGTACTTGAGGGAAAAGGAGTAATTCGTGCTTGCCCTTTGATGTTGTCCCGTTGTAATCTCTGAAGTTGGTGAGGAGTTGTTGCTTGCATGTCCCTGCCGAAGGCAGTCCCTCAGTTACCCACATGTTGGGACTTGAGGGATTGCTTTGCCGTTTGTTGGAATTTTTTCACCATTTTGTAATTTAATGATTTTCCCGAAGGGGTTCTCCAGTCCCCCACTCCTTGAGGCACTTGTAAAGTGGTGAAAAGGAGTAGAGTTTGGTCCGTTGTAGCATGGGGCCGAAGGCTGACGCTTTTCGTTTCATTTTGGGGGGATGCCTCGTTAAAAAACCTCATTAGGAAAAACCCTGTGGGAAAAAATCCTAATGAGGGAAAAAGAGTGCACCGAGTTCCCCCAACGATGAATCGAAAATGTGAAACCTTGGTTCAAAATGGAGAATAATAGTAATGCCGAAGGCTCTCCTTGTTCTGAGGGCTCATGTGTGGATTAGCCGGAGGCTTGTTGTTGATGTCCTGGGAGGTGCCGAAGGGGAGTCCCTCAATCTGGGGATCGAGGGCGTAATGAATGCAGGTAGCAGTCGAGTTGTTACCGGGGGGTCCCTGTGTTGTTGATTTGTTGGTGATGAGGATCTCCGAGGGCTTCCGTTACCTGTGTGCCGTAGGTGATCCGTCAATGAGACATACTCCCCGGGGGCTACCTGGCTCTCAAAGTGCTGAGGGGGGATCCCCGAGGGGTGCCTGATATGAAGCCTTGGGCTTCTGAAGGTTTGATCCCGAAGGCATCTGTTATGTACTGTGTGGGGCACAACCCGGGAGCGTCTCCGGGTAAGTGTGCCCGGAGGCTCTCCTTGATGAAGTGGAGTGAAGTAAAAAGCCCGGGGGCTTCCAGAATATAGCCGTTGGAAATATAGCTGTTGGAATATGTAACGTCAGGATATAGCCGTTGGGGGGTTGCCACGTGGTGCGTGCTTGTTGGCTGCCCGTGGGCGGGCGTCACCGATTGGGTGGAACCTCGGTTGGTAATGATGGCAGTCCAACCGGAGGCCCGGTTTCCAGGCCCAAGCCCGGATCCCAGCGCCTATAAATACCCCATGGCCGACTTCCTTCCCCTTGTGCGAAATCATTCTAGCGAAGCTCTGCCAAAATTTGTAGAGAGAGAAACAGCAGCCCTCGATCAATCCCTGCCTTGAGGTCAGTTCCCCCCCCCCCCCCCCCCCGCTCTTCTCGTTGTAGTTAGTTGTGCCTTGTGCCCTTAGGCTAGGAGATAGAATTTTTTAGAAAACCCTAGTTATTCCGAGCCCTCGAGCTAGTGAGTAGATGTCTTCTCAGAGCGATTCTCAGGACATATCGAGGGATCTCTCGGTGGAAGAGGAGAGCTTCTCAGACGCGGGGTCTTCAAGTGAGCAGCCCTCGGCCCAAGAGGACGTCGCGATGGCGATGGAGGTGCAGAAAGACCTGGTGGCTGAAGTCGAAGCTGAGGGCTTCAAGCAGGAGGAGGAGGACGAGGAGCTTGCCTTCGCCGTGCAAGTTGCGGAGGGGGAAGAAGAAAAAGAGAGGATGAAGGTGACAGTGGCCGCCCTCCCCCCTCGGGGTGCTAGTGAAGCAGGGAGCTCTCGGCCCCTCAACCCGACGCCGATAAGAGTGGCCCCCGGGAACCAATCGGGGAAGAAGAAAACTGCCCCCAAGAAGAAGAGTGTCGCTGCTGATCTGGGGAAGCCCGTAGATGTGCCCGAGGGGTACTCCTGGCTAAACACTACTGCCCTGGAGATAGGGTCGAAGGCCGATAGGGAAGACATGTACGTGACCCAGCTGCACGTGGGGCCTTCGGCTGTGGTGGTGGCGCCGGGCCCCGATGACGTTCTTTCCCGGGCCCCCGAGGGGTGCATTGCTATGCACATCCTGTCGGTGTCAATGGGGCTCCGGTTCCCCCTGCACCCATTCCTTCGGGAATATCTCCGGTATGTGGGCTTGGTCCCTTGTCAGCTGACGCCCAACAGCCACTCCTACGTGGCGGGCTTTCTGAACCTCTACCGGGCCCGAGGGGTGACCCCCAGCCTGGATCTGTTTTTCTAGAGCTTCAACCTCTGCCGAGGGGGTCACGCGAACGCCGAGGGGTTCGCC